AAATCATCTTGACATGACTTATAATATCTAATACATTATGCAAATTCTACGTCAGTAATCATGATATTGTATTGCCTGGGGAGCCGTCTACATGTTAGGTCCAGACACTATTGTTTTCTTATTTTTCAATCTGTAATTGGGTAAACCCATGGGTGCAGAAGAGTTAGCTGAACCTGGCGCATGGTAGGTGATTAATAAACAATAATTGCATTAATTGGAATAGGGTAGGTTATGCTGAGACCACCAGTCCCTCTAGTGGCTTAACATTGACATCTGTTTTTCTCTCACGAATTTATCCTTCTGTTCTCTATTGTGAAGAGTTGCCATGACAGGTTTGGAGAGGTAAGGCAATCTTGTGTCTCTACCATTGCAACAGGGAGCCTTCTTCATCATCGCCTAACGGGAGCTGGAGTAAATACGCCATGTTTCTTTCTGCTTCTGCCGAGCCGAGACATCCTGTCCACCTGGGGCTCAGAAACAAGAGCTGTATATAGCGGCAGGTGGCACCAGGACAGTGTCTCCCCACATCCAGGAGGGATAAAAGGCTGGCCACAGGTGGGCCTCACTGGACTCTCCCTGCATGCTCACTGGCATAGGCCCTTCTGTGCACCTCTCTGAGAGCCACAGCCAGCTGCCAACATGACTCACTTTTCTACATTCCCCCCTTTGCTTCTGTCCTGTGCTCTCCCAAAGTGCAGCAGAGGAAACACAAGCCCTTACTGTCCCCATCCTATGCTGGCCTCCAAGTTATGTGCGTTCAGGAGGAGAGCTATTCCTGGAGCTTCTCCTTTGACTCCTGTCCTGTAGCTGAAGGGACTGTCATCAATCTGGTGACACCCAAGCATGCAGGCCTCCAGCATCTGACAGTAGTATGACCTCTGAGAGTCCGGGACAAACGTCTGTCATCACCAGGATGTACATGATGGAGGTGTTGGCCGGGACCTCAGAGGATGTAGGTCTCTTCCCATCAAGGGGCCCCCGTGAACTTTGACTTGGATAGCTGATGCTCCTGGTGGCTGTGGAGAGCCTCACTGAACAAAGGGCAGGCCAGAAACCAAGAAGAAAGGCTTTCCTGTGAGGAGGGTGTGTGCGACAGAACCACAGCCCACAGGTGGACCGGCATCTGGCAGCTAAGAGCTGTGCACTCTTGGACCAACAGCACAGTCTCTAGGAGATTCTTTCTTGTGATGTGGTGATGTGCAGGGAGATCAGTTAGCATTGACTCACAGTTCATTAGCCTGGGGGAAGGGTGGAAGAATACCATTCTAGAGGTGCAGAATCACCAAGGTAGACCAGGTTAGGCCCCACCCTGACCTGACCCCTTCAACAACACACTTATCCCTCCACTGCTCTGGAGTGTGGGCTAGCCAGGGTTCCCAGCAGTCCCCTCCCAGGCACATTTGTCCCCGTGAGATTTTACTTCCCTTTCCCCATCCACATCATTGAAGGAGGCTCAGCCAGATGCTTTTGAGGTAGCCTTAGGGAGGCTCCTGTGCCCTGAGATGAGACGGTGTGGGCTCTTCATTCTAGAGTGGTGGTTCTCAACTTTCCTAACGTTGTGACCCTTTAATACGGTCTCTTGTGTTGTGCTGACCCCCAACCACAAAATTATTTCATTGCTACTTCTTAACTGTAATTTTGCTACTGGTCAGGCCACCCCTGTGAGAGGGTTGTTCCACCCCGCAGAGTCGCAACCTATAGTTCTAGAGTCTGATGGGTGGAGCCAGCCTGAAGCAACCACTGCTGTAACTTCCTCCTTGCCTAGCTTCTGGATCAACTTCTTGGGGGTTCCCCAACCTCTTCCTCTTGAGAGCCCTCCCCCAAGCACAATAGTTTCCCTGTTCCATCTCAGGCTCATCATCTGACATCTAGAGAATAGAACACGGCTCCAAGAAGGGGTGCAAAAGCTCACAGGTGATCCTAAATTCCAGCCATGACTCAAGAGTGGACTTGTTGAGCAATGGATAGGCCTGATGCCCAGAGGTAGTGACCCCGACCCCTGACTGAGGGCCTTGCCCCAGCTGCTGTGAGGTGGAGCCTCAAGCGGAGAGAGGGGGAAGGATGGAGGAAGAGGAAGCACACAGCTCTCGAACTCTTCCATTTATTGCTTTATTCATGGAAGGCTTATCCCCGTGTACTTAAACAGGATTTGAGGAGCTTAAAACTAAACACATTTAAAAGGAAACGATTGTGAAAGCAAAATAGCACAGCACCGTGTCGAAGGAGCGCAGTGTTTTATTTCCTGGGAGGCCTGCAGAGATAATGAAGGTAGAACCTCTTACCCAGGCCACCAGGAGAGCAGATCACAGGGAATGGGTCCCTGGAGAGTCAACAAACATCCCTGGCTTCACTGGAAATTCCATATTGGTCCCCATCCCAAGACCACCACCCTGACCATTTCCACACCCCGGAGCCCCCAAGTCACCTCTGTAGTCAGATCTAATCTAATGAGGGCAGCCACAATGCTGGTGTAGGGGAGGCATGGGTGCCTATGCCACTTAGAAAGGCATTTTTGAGAAATTCTGGGGCAGGACTGGTGGACAATGCCTGTTCCTGCTGGTGTCCCAGCTCTTCGTCCTCCCAGACAGACGGCATCTCCTGAAGAGAACCAGGAGAATGTTCCAGATGTTGCTGCACCCTGGGATGGTAAATTCTGGTGGAATCCAAGGCAGTTGGTACTCATTCAGGCTAGCATCAGAAGCTTCAGGAAGTGTTTGGTCACCCTGGCATTTCCAGAGCCCCAGAGAAATGCTGCAGCCCTGACCAGGGAGTGAAGGTGCTGCCGTCATTACTATCCTCTCACAGCTGGGTAAAGGAAGCCTTGAAGAAAGAAAAAGCATAAAGAATACCATCAAGGAGGTGGGCGCTGCTGTGCGGGATGTTCACATCTGAAATCCCAGCTCTGGGGAGACTGAGGCAGGAGGATTGAGAATTTTGAAGCCAGCCTGATCTATATACTGAGATCTTATTTCAAAAAGAAGAAAAGTGAGGGGAAGGAAGAGGAGAGAGAGATCCCGAACCACAGTTTGGTTCACATCATAGCTCTGCCATAGTTTCTCTGACCCCATTTTCTCCCCTAGGATACAGGAGAACTGAGCTGGGCATGGTGGTGCACACCTACCGTTTCAGCACTTGGGAGACTGAGGCAGGGGAATCCTCATGAGTTTGAGACAAATCTGGACTATACAGTGAATCCCAGGCCAGCTTGAACAAGCCTGCCTAAAAAGTGGGGATGAGATAGAGCACAAAAGAGAGGAGAGGAGAGAGGGAGAGTCTGGGGCATGGTGGGATTTCTTTTCTCCGGGGTTAGCCATGTGAAGCAGATGAAAAATTCCTGCTACAGTTCAGACACTGGGTGCTCAGCAGACAGTAGCTTTGATTATTGGCAAATGGTTCAGGTCAGTTCAGCTCAGCGTTAACTGACCACTTGGCGGAGTCATTAGGGAACATTGTCAAAGAGTCCATTCTCTCTGCTCTGGAGATAGCAATGGCAGGCTTTTCCCAGGGCCAGCTGCTCTAGTATAAGGTGTAAGGGGTACACAGCTTTGGGATCCTAGACGATCTTGGGAAATCAGAGCCTACCATTCCGCCACACTGGCTTCAGAACATCTGCAGAAGGCCTGTGGGACAGAGAGTAAAAACAAGAAGGAAGGAAACATCAGATCCCAAGGTGACTGTGGCAGGTGGGATTTCAAAGTAAGCCTCACGAGTTAAGAAACGGAGCTGAGTTTTAGAGGTGCCGAGTCAAGACTCGAGGGGTGAAGGCTAATGAGAGAGCTGTGGTATCCTCCCACAAGGCCCGCTACTGCGGGTCAGAGTGAGGCCGGCGCTGGCCAAGGCTGGGCCTGCCTCCTCTGGAGGTGTGGTCGCTTCCTACGGCTGTGCTGAATTAGCACAGATTACTAACTTTAAAACAATTTCCCTCCCTTTAGCCTGGTACCAGAGATTGAACCCAGGACTGTAGTGACATTTCAATTGTATTTTAACAAATAAAGCCTACCTGAAGATTTGAGAGTAGAACAGCCCCATTCGTCAGCCTTACAGACCAGGTTATGGAAGCACACACCTTTAATTCCAGTAACCACACTAGTTGCCATAAAAACTGAGTGGTGCACACCTTTAATCCTATCCCTAGAGAGGACTATATAATGGGAGAAGACAGCTCTCACACCCAGTCTCATTCTGAGATTCCTGGAGGCAGGATCGCCATTCCTGACTGAGGTTGATGTAATAGTCGGTCAGTGGCTGTTCTGCTTTTCAGATCTTAAGGTTGAACCCCAATTTCTGATGCTGAATTTTTATTAATCGTGCTTCGCAGGACCTTGTGCATGCTAGGAAAGTGCTCTACCACTGAGCTATGCGTATTCCCAGCCCAAGTTTACTTTTTAAAAAATATCAACACCAACTCACTAAGTAGCCCAGGCAGGCCTTGAGTTTGTAATCCTCCTACCTTAGCCTCCCAAGAGCTGGGAGGGGCTGCAAACCTGCCTAGCCGGAGCTGTGCAAAGCAATGAAAATTTTAATGACAATTCCTTTCTTTAAGCATCTACACACATTCATACCTGCTCCCATTGGATCTTACAGTTCTGGAAGCTAAAAGTTCCAAGTTATCTCTCTCTCTCTCTCTCTCTCTCTCTCTCTCTCTCTCTCTCTGTCTCCACCCCTTCTCATCCCTCTCTTCCATACCTCTACCCCTAACTCCACCCATCCCCAGCCACTCCCCCAACTTCCTTCCTCTTTTTAGGTGGGGATGACATAGCCTGGTACCTGCAGCTCCAGGCAGCAGGCAGGCAGAGATTCTTGGCTTTGAACCAGTGCTGCCATCAGAAAAAAATAAATTGCAAGGGGCATTTCCTGCCACCTGTTACTCATAATTTCCAGACAAATTTACCGAGTGTGGAGCTCTGAGCTGGGTAGGACCCAACAGCAGGTCAGGCTGAACAGGTCTTGCAGGTGGCTCCCAGACCCCCTCTGTGGGCTGCAGGAGTAGGCACACACTACCCCATGGGAGTCCGCCACTCATCTTCCAAGGATTTTCAAGCCAGCTGTTGAATATGGCCATGATTAGAAATCTAATTATATTAACTTACAGTTAAATAAGTTGTATCAAAACAAAGGTAAGGCAAAAGCTCAAATCCACACATGTCTTTATTGTACGACTGTCCTATTACCCGTGCCCTTGAGGTTGTGTGCTTCTGTGGACTCTGGGGGCTGGAAGGACCATGGCACCTGTGCCGCTTTTCATCTCTTCCCGACTCTATGCTCAGTGGCATCGCCACTGCTACCTTGAAATCGCAAGCGTTTACTGCCTGGAACCTGGCAGACACTGCACTTCAGCCTTTGCTTGAAGAGCCAGTTACTAAACATTTACAGCGGGATGCCACGTGTTCCCAGGGCTGAGACCAGCCCATCTTAGACCATCCTCCCCAAACTAGAGGCTGTGAAGCTGTGTCCTCCTTACTCCCTCCTACCTAGTCTCTGAGTCTTCAGTTCTCCATCTCCCCTAGCCGGCTCCTCGGTCTCACCTCCCCCAGGTAGGAGCCAAGGCTGGCCGCTCCATCAGAAGACAGCTGTTCCGCCAAGGCTTGCAGGCCTTAATTCCGATTACAGACACAGCTGGACCACAGCTCCCAGGCGGACACGTAACTAACTTTCACTTTACTCACGTTCCCGGGAAAATTGACGATTTTCTGCCGTTTTTATTACACTTGGCGATCATTTAAAAGGCAGGTTAGTGCACCCATAAAACCGACTTTGCAACAAGCTCGTGGTGGTAGAAAAATACATTTGGCTGAGACCTATTGTTTGCAGTCATAAAACAGAGGCCAGGGGCTCCCTCCCATTCCCAGTCTTGTTCCTGGGAAGTGGAGGGCTGGATCTCTTCCCCGCTCTCCCCATCTCAGGAGACTGAGCACAGTGATGCTGACCCCATTCCTGAGGTTACCAATGGGCCGTAGCCGTAGAGGCTAAGAAAGTCCCCCGAGTCCTGGGGCCTGGGGGCCAGGACACTCCACAGAAGGCCTCCAAGGGCAAAGCTGGCTTCCAAAAGGGAGTTTATAGCTGGCTAATCAAAGCTTAATTATGGCTGCTCAGCAGGCTCCAGCAGGAACTCAGGCCAGGGTGGTTTTGCTCAGAAACTTTTTACAAGCTTAAGCAGAAGCAGCAAATTAGCAGGAAGGGAAGGAAAATCATCCTGCCTTCACCGGTTCCCGGAGCTGGAAATCTGCATTTACCCTGCAGAACAAGGCTCTGGGCAGGTGGTGCCATGGGGGAGGGGAGGGGCGGAGGGCAGCCCCTGGAGGTTCCCTATGGTTAGTGGGTTGCCCTGTAAGTCACGCTCTTGTCCCCGTGGCTGAGGTACCAAGAACCTGATATCTTCTTCCCGCTTCTCCTTCAGTGGCCACTGGTCAAGGTCACACTCCACATAGCTGGGGGTCTGCCTCATTCCTATGCATCCCAGTTCACCCCGAGATTCTGGGCTCTTCTGGGCTTCTGATGAACAAGTTCCACCCCATCTCCTGCACACTGCAGAATTCCTCTGCTCTGTAAAACCCAGTTCCCAGTTCCACCCCTCAAGCAAATCTCCGGGTTCCCCCTCCCCAACAAGCAGTTGCATGTTCTAGGGTGCCTTCCCTTTTTGCCTCCTGCATGTCTCAGAAGCTATTCTGTGACCTGTTAGAATCACGCAAATCTAAATTTGAATCCCATCACTGCCCATTAACTAAAATGCTTACTGTCCTAAGCACCTGGTTTAGCCTGACTGAACCTCAGTGCCTCTGTCTGGAAAATGGGAATAATGAAATCCATAGTAAGAAGTGGCTGGAGGCATTGGTGACCTGTGGGCAGGTAAATGCCACACCCTGCACTGTGGCAGTCAGTAAATGACAGCTATTACACTCTGTTCTAAAACAGAAAGGAAAGGTTTGGGGCTGACAGAGCTTAGTGGTGGAGCCTTGCCTAGCATGGGCAAGGGCTTACATTACCCTCTCAGCAGAGAGAGAGAGAGAGAGAGAGAGAGAGAGAGAGAGAGAGAGAGAGAGAAAGAAGAAGTGGGGTGGGAGATGGCACAATTGGTAAAGCGCTTCATGTGCTAATATAAGGATCTGAGTTCGGATCCCACCCCCCATGTAAAAAGCATGGTTACATTTCACTGGGATGACAGAAGCAGTCATATCTCCGCAGCTCACTGGCCAGCCAGTCTAGCTGAAATAGAAAGCCCCAGGTCCTAGTGAGAGATTTATCTCAAAAACCAAAGTGGATGGTTCCTAAGAGATGGCACCTGTTAGGTATTTTCTTAAAGACAAACCTCTCCGCAGGTGTAAACAATCCCAATCAGACCGAATCAAACCGAATTAAAGATGCCCATGTTTAATGGAGTGCTCCAGGGTGGCCCCAGGAAAACATGGAGAGGGGAAGAGAAAGAGAAGGGGAGACCACGTGTTCATTCTCTGGGCAGCCTATGGGAGTGGTCTTGACCTTCCCTGAGGAAGAGTTACCGTTTGGTGGACTTTCTTGACCCTCCCTGGGGAGGGATCACCGTTTGGCAGACTTTCTTGAAGGTGGAGTTTGAACTAAAGCAACTCCCAGGGGAGGGAGCTTATGCCAGGAGCTGGGGTGGATACCCGCCCCACCCCCCGCAAACAATCCATAATTTTTTTTTTTATAAAGGGGTGTTAGGGAGCTGAGGTGATGCTTCCAACCAAACAGAGAGGAGGCAGAAGAGAGAGAGAGAGAAAGAGAGAGAGAGAGAGAGAGAGAGAGAGAGAGAGAGATTAAAAAAAAAAGCTTTTAAAATCCACAGATCTCCCTTGCTCCCTGAGAAGAAGACCTGGGGTTCTGGAAACCAGTAGAAAGCTCCCCACCTTATGTCGTCAATAGTCATAACCAGAACTTCCCAGCCTGGCAGCAGATTGAGGAGAGAGGGTCTTCTAAAGAGGGTGTGGGTGGAGTCAGCCTGGAAAAGAGCAGCGGAAATCTGGGGACAGGAACAAAAGAAGGCAGGTCCCTGTGTGCTGTGGAGGCCCAGAAAAGGGGATTCCCGATGAGGTTGAGGAGGGATGACAGAACGCAACCCCCAGGAATCCAGGGCAGGGGGAGGGGCGCGAGGGACTGGGCTCAATTGCCGAGTGGAGTGGGCCTCCACAATTCATCATTTTATTGGCGAGTTACAGACTGAATGCCGCTTTGTGCTATCGCAGCCCACCGAGATGCTCCCTTTCAACTTTATGAACTTCGCTGACGATGAATAAAAGCGCTCTGCCATGACAGGCGCCTGCATTATTCTGCGCGATTCCTGGTTCCTAATGTCATCAATTACAATAATCAGATCACCATAACACAAGGCTGGCGCGGGGAGACCACTGAGGGGCAGACATGCGCGACCACGGCTGTTCCGAACTGCTCACTCGTGTTTCCAAAACGTCGTAGATGGCTGGGAAATATGATTGCCCTTAAGTTTCAAATTACCTGCAATCATTAAAATAATCTAGTTCATATTCATAAAGCCGTGATTATGTTTCACATACCCAGTAAACACTTTATGAGAAAAACCCACAATTCTGCAACGAAATAAAGAGGCGCGATCTGGTGGTGTCAAAGTGGTAAGTCGTGTTGGCGTGAAATCTGCTACAAACACGGAGTTGGGACTTGAGTGCTCTCCAGGGAGCACATTCCAGGCCATGGTGGTGGGTGGTAGGTGGTGGGGGTTGCATGCACAGCAAGCAGAGGAAGGAAAGAGAGAAAGACGAGAAGGCAGCCATATCCAGAACTCCTGGTGTTTTCCTCAGCCTGTGCCTCCTTTAGATGACCACTTAATCCAGGAGACACAAGCAGACCTAGGTCACCGTCGGCATCATCGTGAGGTTCACATGACCTTCCTATTGCTACACTTACCTGGTGGATGGGAAACATTGACAGCTGAGGTTCAGAGACTTCCAATGATTTTCCTACAATCACACATGAGGAAAAGCAGACTCAACGTCAAGAATGGGGTTCCCAAGCACACCCCATATTTCTTCAAGGGCCTTATCTGAGGTCACGTGGCAGTGGACGTCACACTGGTGTCCTGCTAGCTAGGGGACATGTTTGACCTTGCCACCTAACCACGTCCAGACCCGAGGCCTTTTTATTTGTTTGTTTGTTTTCTAGCCTAGAAATGTACCTCATGGTACAATCTGGTCATTCTCAGCATTGACCGAATATTTGACACTGGAGGGAAAGCCATTTTTTTAAATCCCTTACTTGAAAACGTCTCTCTCTCTCTCTCTCTCTCTCTCTCTCTCTCTCCTCTCTCTCTCTCCTCTCTCTCTCTCTCTCTCTCTCTCTCTCTCTCTCTCTCTCTCTCTCTCTCTCTAATGCCAGGGATTCTTGTGTGTGATACGCACATGTGAGGATGTGGGTGTCTGTGCATAAGTGGGTACGTGTATACGCTCATGCATGTGAGGCCCACGGTCACCTCCCGATGCCTTTCTTGATTGCTTTCCACCTGATTTTCTGAGGCAGGATCCCTTGCGGAACCTGGAACTTACTTATTTGCTAGACTTCCTGGCCAGTGAACTCCAGGGATCCTCCTGTCTCTGTTCCCCCAGCACTGGGGTTACAGACACATCCTGCCATGCCCAACTTTTATGTGGGTTTGGGGACTGAATTCAAGTAGGTCCTCATGCTTCCACAGCAAGCATTTTACAACTGGGTTGTCTCCCCATCCTCTAGCGCACGCGCGCGCACACACACACACACACACACACACGATAGATAGATAGATAGATAGATAGATAGATAGATAGATAGATAGATGATAGATAGATAGAATACATCCATCCCTTCCAAACAGAACCACATCAAAGAAGATGAAAATTCCCACTTCAGTGCAGAGCTGAATACAGTAAGAGACTCCTATCTTTAGGATGAGCCCTACTGAAACCAGCCTCCTCCCTGAAACTGCAATCCTGCCGCCCTTGGGCAGGGCCTGCACCCTCAAAGGAAGGAGAAAAGATGGCAGCAGGCAGGTGGAGCCCAGAGGGGTGGGATTTCAGCTGAGCATGTCCAGTGCTTTCTCTTAAGCCCACCAATCATATAAGTGTCTCCTCTTTCCAAGCTGATTAGAAGGTGAAAGAATGCAGACCTGGGTCCACCCACACAGCTCTAGCTATACAAAGATTCTCCCTGGAAACCAGCAGTGGTGCAGGGTGGCTCCTCCCACCCCACAAACTAAAGAAAAGCTGAGATTGAGAGAGAGAAAATAAGAGGGGGAGGGAACCATTTCTAGCCCCTTGGTTCCCCAGCGTTTGCCTAGTACCCTCTCTTGGTCCTTCTGCCTATTTTAGATGATACACATGCATGGCCTTCAGGGCTAGCTGCCGTGGGACTTTCTAGACTGGTCCAGAAGGCATCCTGAACATTATCTATCACTGGGAGAAACTCCATGGCACAGAAGTTGTTCCAGGATGCACCCTTCCCTCCTTGGTGACAGCAAACTCAGAAAGAGTGGTTACAGAGCTCTGTCGCCATCATGGGATCACCCACCCCAGCCTCAGTTGATCCTTCCCAGGTGCGCTGGGCACTCAGCTTCGCACCTGGTCTGAGGATAACTTTAGCTGGGAAATAGTCAAGATTCTGGGGACATCTGAAGACAGAGGTGGCTTTGGCCGCTGTGAACATGTCTCGAGAATCAGAGGCTAGTGGCCATTAAGGAAAGAGGTTCCAGGGCTGGAGACATGGCTCAGCGATTAAGAGCACTGGCCGCTCCTCCAGAAGTCCTGAGTTCAATTCCCGGCAACCACATGGCCCAGGTTTTAAGGTCTCTCAAGCTGAGAGTAAGACAAGGGTATCAAATGGGGTCCCGAGAGGACAGAGACCCTTAGCTCCTCACCCAGCTCTTCCACCAAGCTGTACCAGTTCTCTCAGATTTATCTGCCCCTCCCCCTACTCATCTGCCATCCAAACCATTCTCTCCCGTCTAGACTCCACCTACTGCCTAATTGCTCTCCAAGTCTCTACTCTTGTCTTCCAGAGGGACACCTAAAGTCACAAACCTAGCGTGTTTTACAGCTCTCCTGGACACAATCCGATCTCTGACCACCCCACCCTACCACCTACCCCACCCTGAGCCAGCTACAAGGCTTCCTGACTCCCTGTCCCAGGGAAAGGTTCACAGTGGCTTCTTACTTTCTGAGCTCAGGGCCTGGATTCCCAGAGCATCTGGAGGGAAGACAAAGGACAAACAAAGCAAACCCATCCAGTCACTCCTCAGTCACTGAGGGTGGGAACAGAGTGATGGGGACTCTTTCCCCTGAAGGGGACTCTTTTTGGAGACAGGGTTCTCCCTGACTCCCTTCCCACCTCAGTCACCTCACGGGCCCTCTTCTCACCGCCACCACCCACTTCCACTGACCCTTCACCTACTGGGTTCCCACAATCCTTGGCACCCAGCTTGAGACTCTTGGGCCCCAATTAGTTCCCTGTTTCCCATGCCAGGTGCTGCGTGGCCATGCCATGCTCCACATCAAAGGTCTGTTCATGCCACAAAGTTCCCCTATGAACTCAGGCTGCCGTATACCCACCACCTAGACCACTGCTGGCCCCTGTGGCAAAAGACAGACCAACATAGCCAATGGCACACTGGCTCATAAAGCTTCATGCGTCAGGGGTCTGGAGGAAGGGTGAGCAGGTAAAATGCTTGCCATGCAATTATGAAGACATGGGTTGAGATCCCCAGTACACACATACCACATGTTCTGGTAATAGAGAGGCAGGAACCTGAAGATTCTTGGAGCATGCTGGCCAGTTCATGTAGCCGAATCATCCAGCTCCAAATTTAGGGTAATACCCTGTCTCAAAAAAAAAAAAAAATGAGGTGGTTGATAGTGATTGAGGAAGACACAAGAGACCTCTGAGGTAGCAGGCCTCAGGCAGCAACCCCCACAGAAGCAAGTACAAGGGAGCAACCGCTGAGGGAACAGGCCCAAGCCAGAGACTCCGCGGGTCCAGGTATGAGTCAGGGACCTTCAAGGGAGGAAGGCACCCAATGTCAAATTCTGGCCTCCACACACATGTCCACATACATGGATGTACACACACACAGCTTCATACACCGTCTCTGCTCCGTCACTTGGTAAACTGTCATGAGCTATCTGAGCTCAACAAGAAGCTGGCTCTGGAGGCAGGGTTGATCCCACACTCTTCAGACCTGAGCGTGTTTATCTAGTGTTCTCCATGACCCCTTGTCTAGGGACAGCCTGACCCCCGTGAAAACACCAGAGGGCAAACCACAGAGGTTGCTGTTATTTATCCCAGGATACTGAAAGTGTCTACAGTGCAAACAGAAGTTCATCCACGGGAGCCCACCCTTGGCTGGGAGAGAGCCCAGTTGAAAACTGCAGCTGGCTGCCTCGACTTCCCCAGTTGGTTTTCACCGGATGCTGTGGTTTGCTTTGGTGATACCCTTTCTGCTCTGATTTGTCATTTTACTTGGAAGCCTCTCCTAGGGGACACTCTGCTCTGCCCAGACTTTCTCAGTCCAGCTGGAAGCCTTCATGGGGCTCCCCAGTCAGTGTTTGCTGGGTGTTTGCATGCTCCTGACTGGATGCTGCTAGCTTCCGTTTGCTCTCTCAGTGGGGTTACCTCGGTCATGTCCTCTGGATTAGTGAACAGATAATATTCTGCTGTCTGTCTGTCTGTCTGTCACTCACTACTTGTTCTTTTACTTCTGCTTGCTGTGTACACTAGGAAGACTCAGTTTACCACATCTACAACCGCCAAAAACAGAGTTAAAACAACCTATTGTGGTTTCTTTCCCTCCATCTTTTCTTTCCTTTTTCTTTTTGTTTTGGTTTTTGTTGTTGTTGTTTTGTTTGTGTTGTTGTTTTTGGTTTGGTTTGGTTTGGTTTTGACCCGGAGAAGGGTCTCAACTCTTAAATTCACTATGAAACCAAGGATGGTTTTGATCTCCTGATACTTCTGCCTTCACCTCCTGAGTATTGGGATCACAGGGATGTAGAACCCAAAGTTTTGTTTATCTTAGAAAGCACTCTGCTAACTGAGCCACATCCCCAGTTTCAAGCCACTGCTCTTGATAAGCTGAGATTCAGGCGTTAGTGACAGAAAACGACCCTAGTGAAATAACACACGGGAGTTCAGGGATGGATGTTGCTACGTTAAGTCACAGGCTGACATGACTTTATTGAATGTGGCTCCCAAGATTTTTTAAGTGACTCAATGGCTTGCCTTGATGGTTCACGCTGGATTTCTGCTGCAACAGTACTGCTCAGTCCAGCAGCTCTGACTCAAGGCCAGGAGCCTGACAGTGAGCGTACCTAGAAGTCCTCTGCCCAGCTGTGAGATGGGAAGGAGCCAGCCCCAGCTTCAGATTCCTTCCAGACCCCAGCTGACCCTCTGTCCCCCCCACGGCTCCCCCCTCAGCCCTGAACCCCAGAGCTCTTGCTGGGGCCCCTTGCTGTGGGAGCCTGTGTCTGCCACAGCCTGGCTGCCTGAGGAGCTGCTGCCAAGGAAGGCTATCTCGCCTCAGAGAAGTGTTAATAAATATTTACAGAGCCCTTTGACAGTGCCCAGGGAGAATACAAATCAGACCCAGCAGGCACTGGATCGGCCTCCCCAGGGCTGTGGTGAGGCCCCAGCGGTGCAGGCCTGGCTGTCTGCTGACCCTGCCCCATGTGGCCCCATGACTCCGGTTACAGAAGCTGTGAAATAGGACCATCTCTCTCGATTGATTTCTGTGGCTCTCCCCACAACTGCTGCCCTTGATAACTCACACCATATGGATTTTTCTATAAACCCCCAAATTAATATCTGCTGTGGGTAGGAATATACTACTGCCGGATATGGAGGAGTCTCCTGGCTGGCGTGCTGGGGATCAGAGGACATAGTGCTTGTGGCTGCCCTGCTGTGC